CTCAAATATGTTTGGAGCATTTTTTGGTCCTGTTTTATATAAAAAAAATCATGTCTAAGCTTCAATTTTGTTTTCTAAATAAAAACATTAAAAACTCAAGTAATTCATTTTATCAATATGCAATAGAAATGTATATTAAATTTAAGATTAATCATGATTAATTCACAGCTACTTTGGGATTAATCAGATTAAAGATATTAATCATTTGACAGCCCTAATATTAAATAAAGCCATAAAAAAAGAGATGCCATAAAAGTTTTTCACATTAAAATGTTTTTGTCGGGGCCGGATAAAATGTGAAGGAGGGCCAGATTTGGCCAGCGGGCCTTGAGTTTGACACGTGCCTTAGAGGGTTGATTTGAGAGGTAATTAATCTGAACAAAGCTGCACCTCTTTGTAGTTTTGGTGCATCTTTTTCCCGTACGTGGAATGAAGACGGTTGTATTTTATTTTTATTTTTTAAAAACAGCTATCAGGTTATTGTACGAACGTCCACAGCTGCACGGCGGAAAATATCAAGAACGATCGGAGACAAAAGACTGACTCTGGTTTGGGCTACGTGACAAAACTCACAAAAATGTGGAGCGGCGACTTGTGCCCTGAAATATGAGACGCTGACAGTAAAACAGGAAGTCTTATCTGATTTCAGTCCAGATGATCGTGTGTTTAAAACAAAAATATAAATGTGATAAAAGAAGAAGAAACAGCAGCTGAGTGTTTTCTTCACAGCTCTGCTGCTTTATTTTATGTCTTGCCTATTTTAAACGCAGCGCGTTTTACGTCACGAGCTTCGTGCCCAGGCAGAGAGGATCCGTGATGAGGATCCGGTCTGACAGGATTTCCAAGAACACATAAAAGAAGAAGCGTTCTTCTCGTCTGGCGGCATTGCAGACGCCTCAGGAATGAGGTGTGGCAGCACCGAGCAGGAACACGGCACTTTGAATTTTTTATTTTATTTTTTATTATTATTTCATTTTTGTCTGTGTTTTAAAACCTAAATTATACGATCAATTTTAAAAAGTCTGAAAAAAATAATAAAAAAATACCCAACCTTACTTCCAGGTTAGATCAGAATAAATGAAAAGAAAATAGATTTTTAACCAAAGTTAGGCAGTTTAAGTGAAAAAATATTCGGTTTAATCTAAAATTTGCAACAAAACACGTTTTGTTCTTTAAGCAAATCGTATTCCGGTTCATGTAAAGCATYTATAAGTGTTAAGAGTTTAACGTGAGGCCTGTCAGCGGCGAGGGTGTAACCGAAACTATGTGAGAAACTATGCAGGTCAGGGTGTGGAGCTGCTGGCTTTAAAAGGTTTTTAAACCAAAAGAATAAGGTTTTTACAGATGTGAAAAGCTTTATTTCATATAATATTAAAAAATGTTCTGAAATATGTTGTGTTTTACAACTTAAATAATGGTTTTAGGTGTTTCAAATAGACGTTAAAGGGAAAAACTGCCATTTTTTCCCCCTTTTATCTAAATTTAAAAGGTTACCTAATGAATGAGTCAGACCGGAATTTATTCTGACAAAACATCATATGATTTAAAAGAAGGAAGTTAAAATGTATACGTCACTTTAGGTCRTCAGCTTTGAGCTCATTAGTGTCTGAAACATATTGTTTGTTCGTTTCTGGATTATTAGGKCCGCATAACAAGATTTATTTTGTTTTTAAATTACAAAATTTATGTTGTGTTTCTCTGTTTTCATGCTTTTTTATATGGTTACAGTGAATATGTGTTGCTTTCTCGTGTTTTTGCTGTTTTTATATCAAATTAACAAGTGTTTTAATTTTTCACTTTTAGTCTTTATTCAGAGTTTTAATTTATTTTAGAGTAAACATATTTATTCAGCAATATTTGAGCTGCTCGTTTTTTTTTACAAACCTAAATCAATCAGTATGACTAATATAAGCCCTAAAGCACGTGTCAAACTCAAGGYCCGCGGGCCAAATCTGGTCCCTGTTCAGGTTTTACCGAAGGTAACTCTTTAAATGAGAAATAGTTTTCTCTTTTGTGTCACTGTATTTAATACATTCTCCTCATAGCAGCTGGAGGATGTTCGAAACAAGAAAATTAAGTTTCAAATTTTTCAGTAATCTTTGATTTTGGTGTGAAAAGAGRAACAGAATCAGCTTTAGTTATCTTTTTTCTGTATTACGTCTTTGTTGTTTTTCTCAGATCAAACTATTAAACATAGAAAACATTTTGGACCAAACATTTTGAATATTTTGTACGGGAACTAAAGTACTAATTTTAGCTCAATTTTTAAACTAAAGTATGAAAACATCTTTTCTATCAGTCTGCAGCCTTTTTCAGGGCTGTGAGAATACTTGGACAGATAACACGGTTGTTAGGATTTCTCAGCTTATTCAAGTGACACTAAGAGTTTGTGGATTATAAATTAAAATTATTTACCTTTATTAGAACAGGTAAGAGCAGCTTAGTGAAGGCAGCCTAAATGTGTTTTTATCTGAGAAAATGATTTAATCTCACTTAAAATAACTGGATGTTAAAATTAATCAGAATTTTTATCTAAACTCAAAGAACGCAGCGGGGGTTTTTTTAAAAAAAGGGAACATTGTGTAGCTTTGTTTGGTTCATGACGTCGGTACTTTTCGTAGACAGCAGTCACAAGTTGTTGGCTCTGAAACTAGAGCCACAGGTTTGTGTTTTTTTTTTACAGCAGTTTCAATGTTGGTTCAAAGTCACACTCAGAGCGGCCGCTTGGCGAGAACGTTGCAGCCAGCAGCGGAGGATTCTGGGAAATGTCATGGAAATGACTGGAACAGATGAGACGTAATCATAGCAGCTGAAGTTTGTAGTTTATTCTGGGTTATTGTTTCAGCTGCTGTTGCAAAACAACAACAAAAACCTGTCATTAATGATGTACAAAGTCTTTTTATTTTAGATTTTCTTGTGTTTTCAGCAATAACTCCACATTCAAACTCATTTTCTTTMCGTTCTCTCCTGATTCTGTACTTTTAACGCAATTTTTTATTTTAAAGACAAAACCACAAGTAAGCCTAATGTGTCTGTAAATTATATGAAAAATAGATTTTCTTAAATTTTAGTTTTTAGTCTAGTTTATTCATTTATTCATTCATTAAAACAAAACAAACAATTTATATACAATAAAAAGAAAAATTAGAAAAACAATATATGTGTTTCAAAATCACAAATGAAATGAAAGGTAGGTAAATGATTACGTTGAGACAAACAGTTTTTTAATTTCTCGTTTACAGGACTGGGTGATTATATAAAAATCTTTCAGAAATAAAAATAAGTTCTGCGTAAATAAAAGCCCGAGTCAAACCAAACATTTTTATTTACTTCCTCATAAAACATTGGAAACAAAGTTTAATTATGAATTTCTTGTTTTCACGTTAAACACTGTTGAGGATTGTTATCGTTTAAGCTGAAACTATTTTAAGGGAACTTGTTTCAGGTTAGAGACCAGGAAGTAAACTTCTTGGAAGACACCTGACCTGTCAGCAAATCAGATTAAACGTCAGATTAAAGATTTGGCACAGATGAAATGAAGACGTCACTTCATCCAAACTATTTTTGTTTTAGCAACAACTTCAAACGCAATTTTTAGAACATCTGTTGGTCACCTTTAGGGATGTAAGCTATTGATTAATGAAGTAATCTAAAGTTGATTGATCTTATCCTTTGAATAACAATTAATTGAGTTTTCTCTTGCATCGAGAGGGTCTTTCCATGAAGCCATGAAGAGTTAATCTTAAATGATATGCTGGAAAAACGAAACAGATCAATATATTTTAACAATTTATTTTGCCTGCTGTATTAAATACTGACTGAATAAACAAACAAAAAAGATTTCTCACACATTATTAAACTGGACATCTTTATACACAGCAAAAACTGTCCATCTTACCAAGTTTTAAAATCTTATATCAGCCAAAAAGTCTTTTTAATCTTGTTTTGAGTCTGATTTACTAAACAAGAACTGATTGTGTAAGAATAATAAAGAAATAAGAATTAATTGAGTCAAATCAAGTATTTCATGAATCTTACCAAGTAAAACTTTTTAATCCAGTGGCAGAAATTTTTGACTTAGAGTCAAATTTTCAGGCGAACAAGACAAATAATCTTACACATTCTGACAACAAGATGATTATTCTTACACAACCAGTTCCTGTTTAGTAAATCAGTCTCAAAACAAGATCAAAGAGATTTTTTGGCTGATATAAGATTTTAAAACTTGGTTAGGTGGACATTTTTTGCAGTGTAAAAAACAACCAGACAGAACTCTATTAGGCTGTTGATGGGTGGAAAAACTTGAAAAGACTAACTATTATTAATTTATTATAATTAGAACATATTTACAKTTAAAATGTTCAATTTTTCTCAGATTCTTTACTTTTTGCTSCCTTCTTGTTGTGGCTGAAACGACAGATTTATATATATTTTTAACTGTGAGGAAAGTGGGTCTACCTGGAGCAGGTGTTCCCCCCTGAGTCACACATCGGCGTGCTGCTCACTGTTTTTGTCCTGTATATTTTTTGCTACCTGACAAATAAGTTTGTGCCTCGGTCAGGAAAAAGATTTTTTTTGGCATTGTCATTTTAAGAAAATTAAATGTGGCGTRTATTTATCATAACCATTGCCTAACAACACAATTTAAACTGGTTTAAAGTTTGAAGTCTCTACTTTTGAGTCAAACTGAAACAGTGTCAGAGATGGCACACTTTTTCAGTTGGAGTTATTTAATTGGACCATGTGATGATTGGAATGGATTTTAATCTAATAAAMCAATTAYGTGACAATTAATAGTGAGTTGAAGTTGTTTACATCCCTAGTCATCATCCAGACRTCTTTGAGTTTTGAAATTAAGTGTATTTTCTGTTGATTGTGTAACCCAAACCCATTTGTTTTCTGTTTAACCTTTTCTCCCAACAGGTCAAGCTCTGAACTGTTACAAATGTGGCATTGGCTTTTGGGACCTGTGCCTTACGACCAAGACCACGTGTGACGCCGGAGAGCAGTGCTACAGTGGTGAAGGGAAGGCAGGTGAGCAGCTCGCAGTGCGATGAGATGAGGATCTCTCCAACACGAACCTGACAGCATTCCTGAAGCGTACTGTCCAGAAGCCAAACGAGGGCAGGGGTTTACCAGTAGTGACGAGACGTTTTTTTTATTTCCTCTCTGAGTCACTAACAGTAAAACGTTATGGTCAGGTGATAATCAGATCACGTAAGGTTGGCTGAAACCATAAAACATAAAAGTTTGTCTTAAAGGGATCCCTGATTAGTTGTAACATTAGACTTTATTTGATAAACGTTTATTTTAACTGTAAAATAAAGAATGTAAAAATAATGTGGGCTGTTTAGTTTTGTAAATTTTTAAAAATAYATTTYAACACGRAYGRAGCCATTKTATTTACACACAAAGCATTCTGGKTAAATGATGACGTGGATAGGTCCTCGGTGCGAGGCTGCTAGCGAGCTATATCCACCCTGAAGGTTAATCTTGGACAATATCTGATGATCGACTCTTTTAAATGAAACCAGAGAGCGTTGACAGAGAGGAGAAGGTAGAAATGACTCAGCCTGGAACTGAAAATGTAGATGGAGGACAACAGAGCTGCTTCATGGAAGAAGAACCTCAGCTTAGCCTGTTAGCCTTTGTGCTAGCACCTTATGTGTATTAGCTCGGCGCTAGCGCGACAAACAAGCTAAACTGAGGTCCTCCATCCATGTTTTCAGTTGCAGACTGAGTCATTTTTGCGTTCCGCTCTCTGTCATGTGGATGGAGGACCTCGGTGACGAGAGGAGAATGTGTAGCGCTGAGCTAATACATATATGTGGTGATAGCATCGGGGCTAATGCTAAAGCTAACAGGCTAAGCTGAGGTTCTTCTTCCATGAAGCAGCTCTGTTGTCCTCCAACCACATTTTCAGTTACAGGCTGAGCCATTTCTACCTTCTCCTCTCTGTCAACGCTCTCTGGTTTCATTTAAAAGAGTCGATCATCAGATATTGTCCAAGATTAACCTTCAGGGTGGATATAGCTCGCTAGCAGCCTCACACCGAGGACCTATCCACGTCATCATTTACCCAGAATGCTTTGCGTGTAAATAAAATGGCTCCATCCGTGTAATATATTTTAAAACTTTTAGTTTAAAAATTATAAAAACTAAACAGCCTACAGTGTTTTTACAGTCTTTATTTTACAGTTAAAATAAACGTTTATCAAATAAAGTCTAATGTTACAACTAATCGTAGATCCCTTTAAAGGAATATCTTTACTCCGATCACACACACTAATATTTTTTTTTTGTGTCATCTCTCCACAGCTGGTTTTGTCAGTATCAAAATGAAGGGCTGTCTCAGCACGGCTTTGTGCAACCAGACTACAAATGAGAACATCACGGTCGGCAGCGCCAGCGCCACYGTCTACAAGATAAACAAGACGTGCTGCGTTACGGACCTGTGCAACGCCGCGCCGGGCCTGCCCGCGTCCTCCGCGCTCAGCCTGGCCCTCGCCACCAGCGCCGCTCTGTTCGTGGCCAGCRTGGTTTAACACGATGAAGCAACACATCCAAACCTAATGTACAAACCAAAGCACTACAAGAATAGATGACTTCTTTTTTTTAAATCTGCTCTTTTTGAGGTGTATTTCCACTCTTACAAGATTTTATACGTTGACCTCGCTTCTGTTTTTTTTTTTTAGTCGCACATAAGAACAATTTTATGATGGATGTGTCCAAAACAATTTAATTTCACAGTACAAGACAAGATTAACTATTATTTACATTTGATACTTTTGTTAGATCTGAAACTACATTTGGAAAGTTATCAGCTTAGCTTAGCTTAGCTTAGCTTAGCTTAGCTTAGCTTAGCTTAGCAAGGCATGGCATAACATTAAAACTAAAATGAATATATATTACGGTATGTGTTATTAAAATGTGGTTTTTGTACACATTTCAGTTTCTACTCATTTCAAACTAAATTTCATGCTGATTTAATTCAAAGCCAGATATATAACCCTTTGTGTCTTTACATTTCTGTCTATTTTTTTTACATTTCTGCTTCTATTTTGTATGTGGTTGTCGAATCTGAAGCTCGTTTTAAAGTTGTGGGATGAAAGCTGGATTCCTGTGTGTGTATTTAAAGCATATATGGTGCTGATAAAATGCACTGCTTGGTTGGGGGTGTAATTACAAGAACGTTGTCTGTGTAAATCATAATGTGTTTACTGTTTTAAAGACTTCCCTAAAAAGAGAGAGAATTGTTACTTTGATATAAAAAAAGCGGGTTTTGACCATTTGGTAAATAAATCGTACACATGGGGAAAAGGTAAAAGTGTGAGAGGTTTTCATTATCATCGACATCCTGCAGGACAAAGGAGTTCTTCAACGTTGACTCAGTCTGGTTTAGTTTATGCAAATAAAAAGTTAAATGTTAAATTTTAACATCATTTATCATTAACTTTTGAGACAGAGAATTTGAAAAAATAATTCCACATTTATCGAGGTTTACAAAGAGAATATGCTTGGGTTCATTCGTTAAGCACCATTTTGTACAGGGGAATTTTAATTGTCTTGATTCAGGGTTTGGGTTAGAGTGAGTTTAACAGGTTAATTTAGTCTGACTAATCATAAATGTCCCACAAAAGATTGTTAATCTGAGTTAGTTGTGGATTTGAGAAGAATGACTGAACCACTTGCAAAGTTCATCGATGTGGTGCCCAAWCCAGGTCCTTGAAGGTCTCTATCCTGCATGTTTTTGATATTTACTGCTTTGACACACCTGATTTGAATAAATGTGTGATTCACATGCTTGTAGACCTGCTGAACAGGTGAAACAACTATAATGCAGGGTAGAGGCCCTCAAGAACCAAAATTGGGTACCATTGGTGCATATAGTAAAACTTGGTATTTTATTTGTTTCAATCGATTTTGCTTATTGGTTATCTGTATATTTTGTAGCTGAGAGCTTCCAGCAGATGGTGGTTTTATCTTCTTGTCTTGGTATCTGCCCTAAATTGTGAGAAGATGAACAACAGTAGCAGTGGTGGATAGCAGAGTGCTGTTTGTGTTGCTCATCCTTTTTAACGTGTAGGAGCAAACCAACCTCATCCTTGGTACAAACGGATGTTCACAAAGGTGTTCAGTGTGTTGGATATCCACTTGTCTTTATAATTTACCTCCCAACTGATCAACTGCAGCTCCAGATTCTCCATTTTACTCAACATTTAATCCTTTCATACAAATGAAACACCATCTCCAGTCTTCCTACGATGAACCTATGTGTTTTGGGGTCAATGACTAAATAAGTTTAACATCATAAAACACAAGAACAAATTCACAAAAAATGTTTTCTCAACGGGAATGTCCAAGATACCAKTGTAGTTTTTGAAAGTGAAGTTTAAGGTAAGCTCACCTCTCCTGTAATTCTGGTTCAACACGTTTTCATCAATCAACGGTTCTTATCTGTTGCTTCTTTTTTTGTTTTGTTTTGTTTTTCTTTAATGCGGAAGCATGATAACGCTGTATGATGTTGCAGGTGATAAACAAAAGTTCAAGTTGGATACCAAACATGGCTTTGCTGTGAGGTATTAACACAAACTGTTATTTAACTGAATAATTGATTTATTTTAACTAAACAAATTAATTACCTTTTAGATTTTTACATAAAGATCATTTACTAGAGTATTTTGGTGCAAAACTGATATTCTCAAGGGGAAAAACAGCAGTAGTTACTCTTGACGGTGGTGCATTCCTCCTCTCAAACTCTTTTTTTTTATGTTCAGCTGTAGAATCAGATTTTTGCGACCTGAGACTGAAAAATGCAGAACCCTGCAGCACAGAGCCATTAAAAAGAAGTAGATATAGGGAGAAATGGATAAATATGCATAAAAGATCAAATTGTTGCAAAACAATTACAAATCCAGTTTTTGTTTTACAGAAAAGAGCCATACGAATTATCACTAAAAAAGATTACAACCATCACAAAAACTTATTAGCTTCCAACATTCAGGCAAACTTTGTTAAGAGAGACAGTTGTTATTATCTTAAGGCAACGGAAATGTTTGTGAAGCCATATTTTTGTACTTGTTTGAGAGAAAGATGTACTTTAATCCAGGGTATAGGATTATGGAATGGTCTGGAAGATGATCTTAAAAAATGCTAGATCTCTGTACAGGTGCTGGTCATAAAATTAGAATATCATGAAAAAGTAGATTTATTTCAGTAATTCCATTTAAAAAGTGAAACTTGTATATTATATTCATACATTACATACAAACTCATATATTTCAAATGTTTATTTCATTTAATTTTGATGATTACAAATGACAACAAATGAAAATCTCAAATTCAGCATATCAGAAAATTAGAATATTACTGAAGACCAATAAAAACAAAGGATTTATAGAAATGTTGGCCAACTGAAAAGTATGAACATGAAAAGTATGAGCATGTACAGCACTCAGTATTTAGTTGGGRCTCCTTTGGYCTGTATTACTGCAGCAATGCGGCGTGGCATGGAGTCGATCAGTCTGTGGCACTGCTCAGGTGTTATGATAGCCCAGGTTGCTCTAATAGTGGCTTTTAGCTCTTCTGAATTGTTGGGTCTGGTGTATTGCATCTTCTTCTTCACAATACCCCATAGATTTTCTATGGGGTTAAGGTCAGGAGAGTTTGCTGGCCAATTAAGAACAGGGATACCATGGTCCTTCAACCAGGTACTGGTAGCTTTGGCACTGTGTGCAGGTGCCAAGTCCTGTTGGAAAATGAAATCTGCATCTCCAAAAAGTTGGTCAGCAGCAGGAAGCATGAAGTGCTCTAAAACTTCCTGGTATGTGGCTGCGTTGACCCTGGACCTCAGAAAACACAATGGACCAACACCAGCAGATGACATGGCACCCCAAACCATCACTGACTGTGGAAACTTTACACTGGACTTCAAGCAAYGTGGATGAAGTGCCTCTCTTCTTTTCCTCCAGACTCTGGGACCTTGATTTCCAAAGGAAATGCAAAATTTACTTTCATCAGAGAACATGACTTTGGACCACTCACCAGCAGTCCAGTCCTGTTTCTCTGTAGCCCAGGCAAGACGCTTCTGACGCTGTCTGTGGTTCAAGAGTGGCTTGACACAAGGAATGCGACTGCAGAAACCCATGTCTTTCATACGTCTGTGTGTGGTGGTTCTTGAAGCACTCACTCCAGCTGCAGTCCACTCTTTGTGAATCTCCCCCACATTTTTGAATGGGTTTTGTTTCACAATCCTCTCCAGRGTGCGGTTATCTCTCTTGCTTGTACATTTTTTTCGACCACATCTTTTCCTTCCCTTTGCCTCTCTATTAATGTGCTTGGACACAGAGCTCTGTGAACAGCCAGCCTCTTTAGCGATGACCTTTTGTGTCTTGCCCTCCTTGTGCAAGGTGTCGATGGTCGTCTTTTGGACAACTGTCAAGTCAGCAGTCTTCCCCATGATTGTGTAGCCTATAGAACTAGACTGAAAGACCATTTAAAGGCCTTTGCAGGTGGTTTGAGTTAATTAGCTGATTAGAGTGTGGTACCAGGTGCCATCCATTTTGAACCTTTTCACAATATTCTAATTTTCTGATATGCTGAATTTGAGATTTTCATTTGTTGTCATTTGTAATCATCAAAATTAAATGAAATAAACATTTGAAATATATGAGTTTGTATGTAATGTATGAATATAATATACAAGTTTCACTTTTTAAATGGAATTACTGAAATAAATCTACTTTTTCATGATATTCTAATTTTATGACCAGCACCTGTATATATTTAAGAGACATATAAAAGATAGTTTTCTGAAGGTATATAATTTGTTGTCTGAGTTGATGTTTTTTATCTTTATTTTTATTTAGTATTGTTTTGTTAATTATCTTTTCTTTGAATATACAGTATATTGGGGATAAAAGGGGCAGGCATTATAAGATTTATTCTTCTTCTGCTACCTTTCATTTTATTTAGATTTTTTGATTTGTGCATTTTGTATGTAGTTATTTTGTTTTGAATGAAATGGATAAATTTTTTGAATTGATTTGAATTTAATTGAATTGAAAATTGTTGAGGAAAACTGATGAACTGGGGGTCTGAGATCACGAGACAAATTGTGTTGAAGAATTACAAAAAAATTGAAGGAGTGGCCCTAAAAGAGATGACAAGTTTACAGTCACACACTCCCACTGCTCTCCTCCTACAACCATCGGAGTGTTATATAAACATCTGTTTTCATGAACAAACACTTCAGTTTGGATTTTCTGAATAACCGGGGAGACGAGAAGCTTCACTCCTAGAGGGAAACATTTTTCACCTTTGACACTAAATTTAAGAATCGAACCAACGAACAGAGATGGGGAAGGTTTTCTTTGCTGTGGTTGCAGTTCTTGCATCTTTGGCTCTGGGTAAGAACAACTTCTATCTAAGTAAACRATCCTTTACTAATCAGTCTGAGTTTTTTAGATTAAAAAAAAAAACACTGAAAATGTGATGCAGCACCAAAAAATATTGTGTGACAATATTTAGTGTATAATATTGTTGCTTCAAATCAACATTATCAGCTTAAAAAGTCAAATCAAGATGTCTAAAATGGTGTGAAGAGATTAATTATCCATATCGGACAATATATATACACAATATATATACTACTGCTCTTTCAGTTTTATGTTGTTGTTTTTTTCAGTGGAGTCCCTGACCTGCACCAAGTGCACCTTCAACGTCTTGGGTTTTTGTGTCGACCAGACCACTCAGAACTGCACAACCAACACCAGCGTCTGTTACACAGACAAATACAGTGAGTACCCTTTGAGCTCTTAAAAAACTACAATCCATAACAGAACAGCACAGGGATGTCAATGGGCAAATACTATTGACATCACATATCTCTTTTCACAACAAAGCTCTGGGCCTGAAGACAGTTTTAAAGGATGAGGTCATCCCTGTATGATCCCTGGTACCTATGTTCCTTAGATCCCTATGTTCCCTGGTACCTATGTTCCTTAGATCCCTATGTTCCCTGGTACCTATGTTTCCAAGATCCCTATGTTCCCTGGTACCTATGTTCCCTGGTACCT